TTCAGTTGAGCTCTCTGGGGACGAGGTGTGGGTTGGTAAACAGTGACTATTATAGCTATATAGCGAGACTCTTCGCAGATGCGAATTGAGTCACTGTCAGTCACTGGGCGTGTTTCTAAAAATAAATATGCTAAAAATCCACTTTCATCCCTACCGTGCGCCGACGGCTTAATGGTTAGAATCTCCGACTGACACCAATTCAGTCGGGTTTCGATTCTAGCTAGAGGCAACCTGATGTCTAGCCACACTGATGAGCTGTGAGACGGCGAAACAGTCTGTCTGTGGATGACGTTATATATATATATATATATATATATATATACACACACACACACACATAGATTGTTCTGAAAATAATAACTTCTATGATAGTTGACAGACAACATCAGAGATGGATTTTGGTGGTATACCAGTAGTAGATGAACCTTCCCATCAATAGCCCATGATTTTTTATCATTGTGTGTGTGTGTGTGTGTGTGTGTGTGTGTGTGTGTGTATATATATATATATATATATATATATATATATATATACACACGCACGCACATACACAGATTGTTCTGAAAAAATAACTCTTATGGTAGATGACAGATGACATCAGAGAAAAATGTTGATGGTATGCCAATAGGTGATTAACCTTCCCACCCATTTTGTTTTGTTATAAATACTAAATAAGTAGTAGTCTGACAAAATTGCATTTGACATAAAGGTGTATATGCATTAGATCAATTATTAACATTTTTAAATTTCTAAATTCTCCACAAAAATTTAGTGTAATTCATTAAAACGATCAAAGCTTTCTTTTCATAAAATATGAAAACAAATTATGAAAATTTATTTTAATTTTAGTTAATTTAAAAAAATGATAAAAATTAAAAAATGTAATTGTATATGGAAGAATTGGAAGATAATTTTCTTTAAAAAAAAAATTTTAAAAACAGAAAAGAAAATTTTATTAAATTATTCACTTCAATTTATTTCTTGCCTTAAATTTATTTCTCCATCATTTACACATTAATATTGCTTTATATCACCAATATTTAAAGATTATTCATTCCAGTTATTCCTTCCATTTCCTTTTTAACATATTTGCCTTCATCTTGCAATAATCTAACTTATTTAAGATCATTCATTCTGTGCTTGCCTTATATTTCATTTTTAGATAATTTGCCATTTTTCTGTTTGAATTTCTGGAGTAAGGATTTATCATTAATTTACTTTAGGACTAAATTGAATAACAAGGATGTGAATATTAATTTGAATGTTAAAAAATGTAAATAAATGTAAATAATTATTTACCTTGATTTTGCTTTATATTACCATACTTAAGATTCTTTATTCTGTTTTTCTTAGATTTCATTTTTAGACTATTTGCCTTAAATTAGCATATTTAAGATTATTCACTCTAATCTTACCTTACATTTTATTCATAGACTATTTGACTTAATCTTTCTTTACATTACCATATTTAAGATGATTCACTCTATGCTTGCCTTACATTTCATTTTTAGGCTCATTGCTTTAATCTTGCCTTATATATATTATTATTATATAACAATATCTATAACATTTTAGAGTATTTGCCTAACATTAATATATCTAAGACTATTCACTCTAAGCTTGCCAAAGTTTCATTTTTAAATTGCCTTAATCTTGCCTTATAAAATTATTCTAATTTTGCCTTAAATTTCCTTTTCTTATTCACCCTTTAAAATAATGTCCACAATGCAAGCAGTTAACTTTATCACAAAAGACATTGACTCAAATAACTAATACAATTATTTTCTAAATACTAGATGAAATTAATAAATTATTATTACTTTGTGTAGGATAGAACCCCAGTCAAGGTCAACAACACTGGCAAAACAAAATCTATGCCTGCCTGGGCAGATAAGATAATTATGTTTACTTATGTCTTAGTTGAGTTATGGCTTCACTCTTGAGCATGGTAGTGACAAGATATTTTATCTGGCTGTAAAACATGACAAAATGACAATTAGAATAAAGCATTCATTCCCCAAGGACATAAGAATAAAATGAACAACTTCAACCAAAATTAAAAACGGTTCAGAATTTCGTTTTCTGTGGCAATAAAAGTAATACCAGCCTACACATTGATTTAGGTCTGAAGATGAAAAGCATCTTATTCAAAAAATTGTTCAAACTGTATGTCCCATTCTTTTTTCATGGTTTTCATGATAAACATTGCTTCAACTGACAAGTTCACCAAACAAGGCTAACCAGCACGAGTTATTCAAATTTAGCCATATAGCTATATTCTCTACTTCTACTTCTTATGGATGGGAGTTGCAATAAAAAGCAAGAAAAATGAAGATGAAAGAAATACTAGTGAAAAATGAATAATAATTGACAATGTTTCATCTAAGAAAGCTAACCAGCAGAAGTCATTTAAATTTAGCCATATAGCTATATTCTCTACTTCTACTTCTTATAGATGGGAGTTGCAATAAAAAGCAAGAGAAATAAAGATGAAAGAAATACTAGTGAAAAATGAATAATAATTGGCAATGCTTCATCTAAGAAGGCTAACCAGCAGAAGTCATTTAAATTTAGCCATATAGCTATATTCTCTACTTCTACTTCTTATGGATGGCAGTTGCAATAAAAAGCAAGAGAAATGAAGATGAAAGAAATACTAGTAAAAAATGAATAATAATTGACAATGCTTCATCTAAGAAGGCTAACCAGCAGGAGTCATTCAAATTTAGCCATATAGCTATATTCTCTACTTCTACTTCTTATGGATGGCAGTTGCAATAAAAAGCAAGAGAAATGAAGATGAAAGAAATACTAGTGAAAAATGAATAATAATTGACAATGTTTCATCTAAGAAGGCTAACCAGCAGGAGTCATTCAAATTTAGCCATATAGCTATATTCTCTACTTCTTATGGATGGGAGTTGCAATAAAAAGCAAGAGAAATAAGTATTTAAAAATTCATAATGTCTGATTGGTAATATTTGCTCAGATGCATATAGTGATTGCATTATGTCCAAGTGGTTAGAATCTTAGAATTCCAACCCTGAGACTTGGGTTTAAATAGCATTATCGTCAATTTGTTAGGGAGGTGACTTTCTTTGTAATATCAGTCTAAGTAGATAATCTTAGCATTTAGCATCATTGGGATGTGTCAGGTTTGTTCTGTGAGTGTTGAAGAAATGTAAATGTGCCTGAACTGATATTTGCAAAAGGGATTAGCCTGCCACCGTTGCAGATGGGTATACCTGAAAACAGTCATTATTATTATTATTATGACTTGGCCAAAAATTTACTTAATAAACCCAACAAATTTGGTCCAACCCAATACACACACACACACACACATATATATGAATTAAAAAATGCAGATTAAATCTAACAGAATGGTTGAATAAGGAAAAAATAGTTAAATGTTTATAAATTTAACATTTCTTCATCAGAAAGTTTTAGAAATCCAAATCCAGATTTCAAAAAACTTTTGATGAGGCTAAAATAAAACATTTAAATTATAAACGTTTTCCTATTTATTACTTATTTAAACAAATATATATATATATATATATATATATATATAATCTTATCAGTAGGTTTGGGTGAATGCATACATGTGTATGTTATAGGTAAAAACAAATAAATTCTTACTTTGTGTGGTGGAGAGTAAGAAAAAGAAAGAAGAATGGTGTGTGAGAGGAAGAAAGATAGGAAATGGAGTATTTACATGAAAGAGAGTAGGATTACATACATTATTTTGTGTGGGATGGTAGTTTTAAAAAGAAGATGGGAGGAGAATCAAAAACAAAGCATGTTTGTCTTCAGGGAAAATTGATTTCAATATATTGATAGAACCATACAGTGGTGTCACCTGTAGTTTATAACATGCACCTGCTTGGTACACTGTTATATTTATGGGTTTTGTAGTTTATTACAACCAAAAGTATGTATAACTATATAACCGAGTGCTGATATTTGAGGGTTAAAAAATTGTGATATTCTTGCATCATGGTTGGGTTGAAAAAGAGAATGGAAAATCAAAATCTTAATCAGCACTTGAGCGCCATTATCCATTCATAGAATAATACTTGAAACTATGAACAAACAAAAAGGAATAAATGTAAAGCTAAGAAATTAAAATAGATATGAATGGACATAAGTCGATAGGCATGAACAGAATGAGATAGCTATGAACAGACGTAGACATGAAGAGAATTAGATACAAACATAGTCATGAAGAGAATTAGATAGATACGGACAGACATAGTCATGAAGAGAATTAGATAGATACGGACAGACATAGTCATGAAGAGAATTAGATAGATACGGACAGACATAGTCATGAAGAGAATTAGATAGAGTACGGAGAGACATAGATACGGACAGACATATGAAGAGAATTAGATAGATACGGACAGACATAGTCATGAAGAGAATTAGATAGATACGGACAGACATAGTCATGAAGAGAATTAGATAGATACGGACAGACATAGTCATGAAGAGAATTAGATGAACGGACAGACATAGTCATGAAGAGAATTAGATAGATACGGACAGACATAGTCATGAAGAGAATTAGATAGATACGGACAGACATAGTCATGAAGAGAATTAGATAGATACGGACAGACATAGTCATGAAGAGAATTAGATAGATACGGACAGACATAGTCATGAAGAGAATTAGATACGGACAGACATAGTCATGAAGAGAATTAGATACAGACAGACATAGTCATGAACAGAATTAGATACAGACAGACATAGTCATGAACAGAATTAGATACGGACAGACAGAGAGAATTAGATAGATCATGACAGACATAGTCATAGATTAGATAGATACGGAGTCATGAGAATTAGGATACGGACAGACATACATGAAGAGAAATAGATACGGACATGGACAATCATGAAGAGAATTAGATATGAATACGGAAACATAGACATGAAGAGAATTAGATAGATACGGACAACATAGAATGAACAGAATTAAAGCTATGGACAGGAACATCTGTAGACATGGACAATATTAGATAGATATGAACAAACATAGACATGAACAGAATTAGATAGATAGGAACAGAATTAAATATGAACATCTGTCTATATTAAGACTTACATTCAGTGTGATAGATAAAATCTTGTATACCTACATGTAAACTTTATTCACTCACTTTTGGAGAAGCTGATTTGGCACTTCTAAAAATAAACTGCATGTGTCATTTAAAATTAAAGTGCATTTAAAAATAAGCCACATTTTCCTGATTTGAAAACAATTTTGGTGGTAAAGGGTGGCGGGAAAAACAAAAATACAACTCGTAAAGGCTTGTCTTATCGTCATCATGTCTGTGTCATTTGTAAGAAAGATTGAAGAGTATCCTGTTAGGAAATTATTTGTGTAAAGTACACTAAAGAACCAAAGATATTATTTGTACTAGTTTGATTCCTGCTACTTTGTTGATGACAAGATAATCAAAATTGTTTCTCCATTTAAAATACTACATTTATTAGATAAATATATTCTATTTAAATACAGACGGAGTCATAAAAATTTCTTTAATCTTTTGGAATTCAACTCACTCAAATCAAAATCTAAAAACAAGGAAAGAAGTAATAATGTGCAGACTTCATATCGGACACTCCATGATAACACTCTCTTTTATTCTAAGACAAGAACCACCTCCAATCTGTACAGCATGCCAAGAACTATGCACAATAAAATACATACTAACAAACTGTAGTAACTTCTACCAAATCCATTTAAAATACAACCAACATGAAAAAACTCTTTCATGACATTAATCCGTATAATATCCTAGAATTTCTTAAAAAAAAATCAAACTGTATTCCAAAATATAACTTCACCAAAACTACAACATAAACCCACTAGTAATTATCTCTACACAAGCATTTATATGCACAAAATCAGAGTATCATCTACCATGTATTCAATTGTGAAAGAAGAATAACAATTATATTTTTCTTAATTCGAGGCTCCCAAAAAAATTAAATTTCAGCATTAGACTTTGAGAGCCAATATTTATGGGGTAGGGTTTGAGTGTGTTGAATGTAAAAGTGTTCAAGAGTCAGCTTGTACTCTTTTCCTGTTATCCAGGTATTGTTGCCAGATAGGAAGAAAAAATAACCCTCACAACACAGATGTTTTTTTTTTTTCAATTTCATTCATATTTCATGTACGCATACTCCTGTGCATCTATATTTTAACGCAATGAAAGACTTAAAAAAAATTTTTTTTTTCTTGTTTCCACCTTTTTATAATCTTATTACTCAGCCCAGGGTATGGGCTGTCCAAACTGAGTAGAAGGTGAATGTGTTATTTCAGTATCATATTTTAAACCAAGTCTGACTTTGAGTTTATGTGTGTCTTTTTGTCTACATTAAAAGCCACAAGCACACTGAAGTCGCACACAATCCAAGCATTTGCAGATGCATTACGTATACACATTTAAAGTCACATGCAGACAGTGTGTGATGAACAGAAAATTGTCTTGTTGAAACTGAAAATGTTTGTGTATACAATATGTCATATACAGCAAAATAAATCCTCTAAAATGACTAGATTGGGGATATGGAGAAATACAAGACCAAAGTGCCACTCAAGGTAGATTGTTACTTACAAGATTGTTATAAGAAGATACATATTATAAAGGGTGTTCCAGTAAATTGGGCCGATTTTAAATGTGAATTAATTTTAAGTGTCTAATGATTTTTCTTTTTCTTTCAGATTTAACAACTTAAGTCTTTGGCAATTTCAACCATGGAAAGATTAAAAATCAAACAATGTGTTAGTTTCAAGAGTGCAATTGGAAAAATTGTTTGTAAATTCAAACAAATTGGGTCGGTGGCAGACGCGAAAACACTGTTGCATACTTGTTTACACCGTTCAGCTGAAAACATTGCTGCAGTGCACGAGAATGTGACCGAAAATCCAGACCCCTCTATTCGACATCACGCGCAGGAATTGACCCTCTCCACAACAACATCATTTCCAATTGCACTCTCAGGTGGTTGATTATATTGACCAAAAAAATTGCGAAGTGTGTGAAATACATTTCTGTTTGAACGTCCATTTTTGTAATAAGCTTCAATAACTTTAACACATTGTTTGATTGTTAATCTTTCCATGGTTGACATTGCCAAAGACTTAAGTTGTTAAATCTGAAAGAAAAAGAAAAAAAATCATCAGACTCTTAAACTTAATTCACATTTAAAATCAGTCCAAGTTATTGGAACATCTTTTATTATGAAGATCTGTAAGATAGATAATGGGTGAATTGAAGAGGTTAAGATTGTAGGGATCAGGGAAGCATCCTCTCAGGAGTCTGTTCAGCAAGGCAACAGTTCTGGAAAAGTTGTCTGAGTGGAATCTCCTTCTTTTTAATGGAATAAAGCTGATTTGACTCCATGTACATGGTCTGACAGGTCCTAGTTGTGAAGGTCCAGGCTAGTGGAACCAAGAAGTGTAGTCTACCATGAAGATAGCAATAGATGTAATGTAATCCAGTTTGAATCCAAAGTTTCCTTCTCCTAGACTGGTTGACACCCAAGGCTATAGGATGCATGTCCTTGCTGGTGATTTTTGGTTGTTTTCCACTATATAACCCCACACAGATGAAACATTCCTATCCTCTCATTACTCTATTGCTGATATTAGCATGTAAGTGTATGTAATGGATCCGACTAGAATTCGAACTCAGCTCTCTGATTCTTCAATCTAAGCTGCTACCCATTACTTCACCGTGCTTCCTCTCCATATTTTATTTTTTTTTTTTAGATCTATTATCCTACTGTAATTAGATGTTAAAAATGTGGGGAGGCTAAATCATGTTAAGTCATGTTAAAGCTAAATCAAATGTTAAAAATGAGATGGAGGTAAATCATGTTAAAAATGAGGTGGAGGCAAATCAGATGTTAAAAATGAGGTGGAGGCAAATCAGATGTTAAAAATGAAGTTTGGTTTGTTTTATGGCACATCAACTTCAATGGGTCATTTAATGCCGACAACTTTTTTTTTCTGGTAATATTTTTTTAAAAATCTATTTCTGTTAATATTTTTTTCCTCAAAAATGTATAGCTGGTAATATTATTTTTTCAAAAACGTATAGCTGGTAATATTATTTTTTTCAAAACGTACAACTGGTAATACCATTTTTTCCAAAACGTATAGCTGGTAATATCATTTTTTCCAAAATGTATAGCTGGTAATATCATTTTTTCCAAAACGTACAGCTGGTAATATCATTTTTTCCAAAACGTACAGCTGGTAATATCATTTTTTCCAAAACGTACAGCTGGTAATATCATTTTTTCCAAAACGTACAGCTGGTAATATCATTTTTTCCAAAACGTACAGCTGGTAATATCATTTTTTCCAAAACGTACAGCTGGTAATACTATTTTTCCAAAATGTACAGCTGGTAATATTTTTCCAAAATGTATAGCTGATGATAATATTTATTCAAAAATTTATAGCTGGTAATATTATTTTTTCAAAAAACTTATAGCTGGTAATATCATTTTTTCAAAAAACATATAGCCGGCAACAATATTCTTTAAAAAAAAAAGAAAAATGTATAGCTGGTAATATTTTTTCAAAAACGTACAGCTGGCAACATTATTTTTTTCAAAAACGTATTATCAGAGGCCTTGCTGTTGGACGTAGTTTATCGTCATACCCAGGATGTGAGGTGGAGGTAAATCAGATGTTAAAAATGAGATGGAGGTAAATCAGATGTTAAAAATGAGGTGGAGGTAAATCAGATATTGGAGGGCTAAATCAGATGTTAAAAGGGGGATAAACCATGTTAAAAGTGAGGACAGTTAAATCAGATATTGGGAGTGCTAAATCACATTAAAAGGCGGCTAAATCAGATATTAACTTTTAAATTTTCCTGTTTCTATATTATCCAAGTCTCTGATAAATTAATGTTAGATCGATTATCTGACTGTAAATATATTTTTTTTTTCTTTTTATTTTAAATACACATTTACTTTTCATTTGTATTTATCTGGAATAAGACCTATAGACTTTTTCCACATATAAGTCTTATATAAAAGTTTAAGTAATATTTTGGAAGAAAATAAAGGAAGAGGAAGTTTTTTTGTTTTTTTTTATTTTAAAAATGAATGAATAATTATTTTAGATAAATTATATAAATGCTAAATAGCATTTAAAACAGATTTAGTCTTCTGTTTAGTTTTCAGCTCCAGAAAACATTGGGGAGGATTCAGCCCCCTCCAGCCCCCTAAGCATCAATGGCACACTACAGTCTGACACAAAACCAAGAAAACATAAAACCAAGTGATCTGCAATGCAAGCTTGTTAACCATCACACTACAATAGGTGCCTGAATAAATGCACTGTATGTATTTCCTCAGCTTGGCTTAGTCTGACACAAGGTCTCAATAGTGGTGCACCTGATCAAATTCGAACTCACTGAACTGACAAAGTGTGTGACTTACTAAACAGTCTGCTCTATGACAGGCACTCATATCCGTATTTTCTTATCAGGCCAACCAGTTGATAAAACAGCTGTTTCCGGTTGTTGAGTAAAAAGCTGAAAAGATTAGATTATTTATAACCTTACGCCTTGCCATCTGCCTGAAAAGGCCCATACCCAACTGGCGATGGAACCCAGAGCAAACACTGAAAATTAAACTGTTCTTGATCCCATGTATGTGTAGGTACATGAATGCTGAACAATTGGAATGAGTACTTTTAAGCATCCTATCCTGTGTGTGTGTGTGTATATATATATATATATATATATATATATATATATATACACACACACACACCCAAGTATAGGATTGGTGTATATGGAATAAATTCCAATGACCAAAAATACTATTCTTAAAAGAGTGCTCAATACAGAGTGGTGCAAATATAATTTATTCAAAAATTATAACATAAATGTCATAAAATCACTAAAAAAAATAGCCATTTTGTTTCAACACTTCTGGTGTCTTATCAAGTGATGGTGTTGAATGTATAATAAAGAGTTTTAAAAGCTTTTAAAACTATTAATTCTATATATATATATATATATATATATATATTTAGTTTATGCAAACTTAG